TAAAATAATTGGAAAAATATCAGTTGCTCATGGGTAGGTTGAGCTAATATAATAAAAATGACAATTCTACCTAAATTAATTTACTTATTCAGTGCCATACCAATCAAACCAACAAATAATTATTTTATACAGCTAGAAAAAATAATAAGAAAATTCATCTGGAAAAATAAAAGTTCTAGAACATCAAGGGAATTAATGAAAAGAAATGCAAGGGAAGGTGGCCTAGACATACCAGATCTTAAATTGTATTACAAAGCAGCAATCATCAAATCTACTTGGAACTGGCTAAGAAATAAAGTGGTGGATCAGTGGAATAGGTTAGTTACACAAGACACAGTAGTCAATGACTGTAGTAATCTACTGTGATATATCCAAAGACCCCAGCTTCTGGGATAAGAACGTACTATTTGTTAAAAATTGCAAGAGTACAGCAGAAACTAGGCATAGACCAACATCTTATACCATATACCAAGATAAAGTCAAAATGGCCTGCTTTGTTCTTAAGTGCATTGTAATATTCTATAAGTGAGGTATCGTGGATTTTTTTGGTCTCTTTTTTTAATTTATTTTTAGTTTTCAACATTCACTTCCACAAGATTTTGAGTTCAAAATTTTCTCCTCATCTCATCCCTCCCCCCACCCCAGGATGGCATGCATTCTGTATACCCCTTCCCCTAATCTGCCCTCCCTTCTATCTCACCCCCCCTTCTCTTATCCCCTTCCCCTTCTATTTTTCTGTAGGGCAGGATAGATTTTTGCACCCCATTTCCTGTATTTCTTATTTCCAGTTGCATGTGAGAACAATTTTTTTAACGTGTTTTTAAAACTTTGGGTTCCAAATTGTCTCCCTTCCTCTCTCCCCACCCACCCTCATTGAAAAGGCAAGCAACTCTATACAGGTTATACATGTGTAGTCATGCAACACACTTCCATAGTAGTCATGTTGTGAAAAACTAAATATATTACCCTTCATCCTATCCCGCTCCCATTTATTCAATTCTCTCTTTTGACCCTGTCCCTCCTCAGAAGTGTTTGCTTCTGATTACCCCCTTTCCCAATCTGCCCTCCCCTCTAACATCCCCCTGCTCTCTTGTCCACTTCCCCCCTATTTTCCTGTAGGGTAAGATCGCTTTCCATACCCAATTGAGTATGTGTGTTATTCCCTCCTTAAGCCAAATTTGATGCGAATAAGATTCACTCATTCTCTCTCACCTTCCCCCCATTTCCCCTCCACTGTAAAAGCCTTTTCTTGTTTGTTTTATGTGAGATAATTTACCCCACATCATGAATTTTTCTATCATGCCCTAGGAACCTTTTCATGTTGCCTTTCAACATTCATCAGCCCAGGAACTCACACCACACCAGTACCCCCTGCCTTTGGAGCCCCTCCCTCTTAATGGAGGTTGAAGAACTCCTTCCAGAATCTCTATTTCTAGAGTGTCCAGGCCAGCCATTTCCTATTTTCCCACACTTCTCTATCATGCCCCTTGTGCCAAGTACCTGCTCTCCTTTCCTTCCACTCTCCTTTATTTTTCAGTTTCCTTTTGTGTATGATCAGAGTAGCTAAGTCTTTCACAGTTAGTCATCATACTATATTGCTTTTACTGTGTATGACGTTCTCCTGGTTCTGCTCACTTCACTTTGCATCAGTTCATGTTAATCTTCCCAGGTTTTTCTGAAAGCATCCTGCTTGTCATTTCTTATAGCACAATAGTATTCCATGACAATCATATACCACAACTTGTTCAGCCATTCTCCAGTGGATGGGTGTCCCCTCAACTTCTAGTTCTTTGCCACCACAAAAAGAACTGTTATGATGTAGATTAAAACAACCTTGAGATATCATTTTAAACCTACCAGATTGGCTAAAATGATAGAAGAGGAAAGTGACAAATATTACAGAGAATGTGGAAAAATTGGGACACTAATTCACTATTGGTGGAATTGTGAACTGATCCAACCATTTTGGAAAACAATTTGGAATTGTGCCCACAACTGCCTATTCTTTTTGACCCAGCAAACCACTACTTGGTCTATTTCCAAAGGTGATTAGAGAAAAAGGAAAAGAACCTCTATGTTCTAAAATGTTTATAGCAGCTCTCTTTATGGTGGGAAAGAACTGGAAATTGCAGGGATGCCCATGAATTGGGGAATGGCTGAACAAGTTGTGTTATATGATTGTGATCAGTACTTCTGTGCTATAAGAAATGATGAGCAGGCAGACTTCAGAAAAACCTGGAAATACTTAGATGAACTGATGCTGAATAAAGTGAGCAGAACCAGGAGAACATTGTACACAGTAACAGCCACATTGTGTGATGACTAACTTTCATCAACTTAGCTCATCTGAGCAATGCAATGATCTAAGACAACTCCAAAAAACTCATGATGGAAAATGCTATCCACATCTAGAGAAAGAACTATGGAGTCTGAATGTAGATCAAAGCATGGTTGATCCACCAGCCTTAGCCTCCTTCAGTAGCAAGATTACAGTGGACCAACTCTTATGGTTATAAAACCACATGGAGAATGTATGCTTTTTGTTGGTGGAGTTGTGAAATGATCCAACCATTTTGGAGGACAATTTGGAACTATGCCCAAAGGGCTATAAAAATGTGCATACCCTTTGACCCAGCAGTAGCACTTCTAGGGCTATATCCCAAAGAGATCATACAAATGGGAAAAGGACCCACATGTACAAAAATATTCATAGCAGCTCTTTTTGTGGTGGCAAAGAATTAGAAATTGAGAAGATGCCCATCAATTGGGGAATGGCTGAACAAGTTGTGGTATATGAATGTAATGGAATACTATTGTGCTATAAGAAATGACAAAGCAGGATGCTCTCAGAAAAACCTGGAAAGAGAATGTATGCTTTGACAATGACTTGGGAAAGTAGATGGCACTAAAGAAGAGAGGGTGGTTGGTTTGTAAGTACTGGTAGGATCCTGTAATATGCTTGGATCACAGTAGATGTGTTTTACACACATAATCTTCTGAGAAAGTATTCACTTTTCTTCCCTGTCCCCTTTTACTGGATAAAGGGCTCAAAACCATAACCAATGTGGGGGTTACCAATAGGAAGTGTAGAGGAGAAGTCCCCAGTACCCTGGAAAACCACAATCTGCTCATTTTTTCCATCATGGGTTTTTATGCTGACATTGGTTCAGTGATTGCAGAAGATGAGGCACACCTGAATGAGGAATGGATCTTGGTGCTGTTCAAAATGACCATCCACCCACACTGTCAGCATAGAAATGTCTGTACTGCACAGAAACCTATATCCTTAGGAATGAAGGCACAGTCACTGACAGCTTTGGACTAGAGTTGCCATTCCTTTAGGGATGAACCTTACTGTTCACCTCGGGAGTCCAACACTCACCTGAGCTGACTCTGATGTGGTGTATCCTTTCCCTCCTACTTGGATAGCCCACCCTGAATGCTCCCCCCTTCAGCAGCACCCTCCTACTCCTTGTGACTCTGCCTGTACCTATTTTCCCTGCACTGAATCACAATTCCCTTCAGTTTCCTGAATAACAGCTCTTGTGCTATTCTACAGTTGCCTTCATAGGACCCTGACTTGGAATCTGTGTCTCTCAGTAACACAACCCTTTCCTTCTGCCCCACCCCTTTCCTTCTACCCCACCTGCATTGGTTACTTACATGTTGATCACATTTTACTTTTGAGCCTTTTCTACAATAAATGGGCCCTGGAGGAGGAAAGTTGAAATACCTCCCCAAAATTCTACCAGTTTTTCAGTTTCACCAACAATGTATGAGTATGCCTGTTTCTCTATAACCTGGAGCTTTTTTAAAAATAAGTTTTTATTAATATCTTTTGGTTTTTTATATTGCCTTAATTTCTCCCACTGTCCCTTCCCCATCCCTTTCCAGAGATCCATCCTGGGGCTGTTTCTTTGTTTATGCCTATGTTCATGAGTCTCCTAGATCCCCTCTTTTCTTTACACACATGGTTATCTTAAAACCTATGTGAAGGATTACATTTTCTGTGGGGGAAGCAAGGAGAGGTGCTGAGAGGAGGTAGATGTATAGGAAAAGGAGACAGCAGTCAGCCTACAAGTAAGAATCAAGAACTTCATGTAGTCAGATTCTAGTATTAGTGGTTTATGGGTTTGACTAGGATTGAAGATCAAGCTAAAAGATGGCAGTACCGTGACATAGTGGAGCAATGGACTTGGATATAGAAAACCTGAGCTTGAGTCTCAGCTCTGCCACATACGTGCCCCTTGGGCTTTGCACCTCAGATTCTGTTTTTTGTTTTTTTTGGTTGTTGTTTTTTTTGTCTATAAAACAATGATAAGGATATTTCTGCTTAAATGGAAAGAACATGGGGCAATAGCTGGACAGGGAGTGCAGAGAGGACCAGCTCATGGATGGAGATGGCCATTAGTCCTAACCCAGGAAGGGACCCCCAACAAATGATGCATGTCCTAATGGGCACCAGAGTCCCTTCTCTCAATTGTACCCAAAGGAAGCCTTTGGAATCCAAAGTTTGGATGGTTGATCATCCAGGTAACTGGACATGCATGAGCTCAATGCCACCTGTCTTAGGTACAAGAATAGAGAAACTTGGTACGGGGGCAGTCAATACCTCACACTCAGCCTGGCCTTGAGAAAGGGCACTGACCTAGATTGAGAGAGTTTCTCTTCTTCCTCCCCATGATGGCAGTCCCGAGCTTCCCTTTCCCACCGCAGCCAGTCTAGAAGAACAGGAATTCTACAGAAAAGGTAGGGAGGCACAGTAGAATATTCTTCCTCTTCCTCCCAGATGCCAGGCCGATCTTGTGGGACATAAGGAAAGCCAGTGTCCTGTGCTCCCCAAGGACCTTGGGTCAAGCCCTAAGTCTGTCTTTTTGAGAGATGATCTAGCAAACAAGTCATCCCCCCTACCCCCATCCCCAATCAGAGACCAAGGTCTACCTGTAGATTAAACATCAGCACCCTGCTGGGTACAAGCTAGGAAACAGAGAAGACACAGATTTTCAAGTTATTTCTAATGTTTATTTGTACTCATTTGACCTAGGCTAGTGGGTAAGTGTTGTTGGGTAGAAGTCAATGCCATATCTAATCCTAGCAGCCTTTCCAGGGGAAAATTTAGAAATTTTCTCATTGAAATTCAGAATAAGGGTCTAGAAATGACGGAAACGTCAGACGGGAAAAGGGAGGGAGAGGGGGAACAGCAAGCCAAAAGACACGGACTACTAATAAGATGCTATGATGCTAAATTTGGGGCTTAAAGAGAGCCAGGCCTTTCCCTCCAAGCAGAAAGCGAATGTTAATGGGATAAGATTTCACTGAACCATAAATTGAAGATGAATGGTCCAAGGCTCCAGAGGCATCCGAGTCAGTTCAGAGAAGGTCAGAACTTGAGGCTCCAGTCCTGTATGGCCCCATCACTTGCTGGCTCTCCTGCCTGAATGACTGGCCTAGAGACGTCCTCTCCTAGTTGGGGGCAGGAAGCAGAGAGGGCAGACAAGGTCCGGTTTCCCCTCATCAGAGGTTCTGCTGAGCTGGATCTTACATTGAGGGGGAAACAGAGCTGCATCTCTGGCTCCTCAAGCAAAGGGGGTTACTAATCACAAGTCCTACCAGAAATAATATGGTAACAAGAGAGGGATTTGGGCCTGAGCCTGGAGCAGTTGGGAGAGTGATTTGCAGCCTAATCTAAGAGCTGCTTGGGCCTGGACCATCATTACCATCCTCCCCACCTCCACCACTGATTCCCAGGGGAGTCTGATTCTCAGGAAGAACCACTGGAAACTTAACCGACCATTGGAAAGGAAGGCTGCAGGTTGGGAGCCAATGCCTGACAGGCCTCTCTGCTGCTTAAATGAGGTCAGTAGCCTAGCCAGGGAGCAGAGGGGTACCAGAGGGGAAGGGGAGGACATGGCTGTCCCCCTGAACCAGGCTGGGGTCCATCTCCCAAGGGCCCAAATTGAGAACTCTAGATCTGTTCTGAGATAGGCACTGATCTACCCAACCTTCCATCTCAGGGGAAGAGCTGCCCCACTGAGGACATGAGGAGCAGGGCGAAGGTGGTGAGGTGCAGGGCTGGGCGCAGGAAGGCTTGCCCGCTCTGACGTGGCTTCAGTGATGCCAGCTGCTGGAAAGATGAGCGGCACTGATTATCCAGTCCTATTTCAGAGATCACGTCTTCATTGGGACTCTTTGACTTGCTTTCTTGCCGAACCTGAGGAGAGGTGTTGTTAGGTGGCAGCCCCTACCTCCTCAAATAGGGTGTGGGGTGGAGTGACATTGGACACAGAGGTCCTTCTTCCCCCCACAAACCCAGAGAAGTAACCTATGACCTTGCTAACCTTCCCCTCAAAAGGAAGGCTGCAGTTTGCGGTCCTGTGACATAGGAAAGACAGGCCAAGGGTGTCGTCATTGAACTGCTTTTTCTGAGGTTCTGGTCCCTGGATGGGAGTGTGAGGCTGACCCCTTTCCCCGCTCCTCCAGCCACAGGTGTGAAGGGACGACCCCGTTTGCAGGGACGTAATGGGGAGGCTCACCCTAACCCTAAGAGAAGGCAAGATGGCAGCTGTGGTGCTCGGACATCACCTGTTCCACTTTCTGAAACACTCTCAGGAGGTTGTCCCGAAGCAGACCCTGCAGTTCCTTCTCGCTCCAGCCCCGCCTCACCAGCTCCGCAATCAAAGCGGGGTATTTGGAGACATCTTCCAGGCCTTGTGGAAACCTGCAAGTGACCAGCTTTCACCAGAGTCCCCACCCTACCTTCACCCAAGATGAAAAGGGCTTTCTTTGAGAGGCCTTCACTGCTAGCCCACAGTGCTCCCACCCTCCTCTGAACTCCTGGAGTTTAGCAAATGCTCGCTGCTGATTGGCCTTTCCTGTAATAGAAGCCTTTCTGGGCAGGGGCTGCCTGAGCGCTAATCACACCTTTCCCAGTGAAAATCATTGAAGAAGGTGGATGGAAGCCCAGGTGGACCCAGGTTTCACTTTCCTCTTCCTTCATTCCAAAAATTCCCTTCTCTCCAGGGATAGTGACCCAGCTGTTTCTCACATTTCCCAGATGAGGAGGAATCCTTTTCCAGGACCTGTAGCCTGGGGACCAGGAGCAGTATTGAGGAAGTCTGACCTTCAACCTCCCCATTCTCTCCAGGGTCAGACCTGTTGTGTGAAGCAGGACATAGACCATCCTACAGAGAGGCTGCTCAAGTCTACATTGCCTATATATATCATCATCATAATCAATAAACATTTATTGAGGCTGATTAGGTGAGGTGGCACGGTGGAGAGAGTGCTGGGAAGGGCATCAGAAAGACTCATCTTTGTGAGTTCAAATCCAGCCTTGGACATTTAATAACTGTATGACCCTGGGCAAGTCACTTATCCTCTGTTTGCCTCAGTTTCCTTAACTATAGAATTGGGATAATGACCTACTTCAAAGGGTTATTGTGAGGTTCAAATGAGGTAATATTTGTAAAAAAGCACTTACCACAGTGCCTGGTGCATAGTAAGTACTGAATAAATGATTATTCCCTTCTCCTTCCCTTCCCCAGGGCCTTGTGCTGAGCTTGGAAGGGATGTAAAGAATTGAAGATATGACCTCAGCTAGCTTTATGTAAAGTTTATGCTTTACATCTATAAAAAACTGGAAACTAAGGGGGAGATATGCCCATCTAGTGGGGAATGGCTGAACAAGCTATGGTTTATCAATGTAATGCAATATTATCGAGCTGAAAGAAATGATAAAGGGGCTGGTTTCAGAGAAGCGGGGGAAGACCTCTATGAACTGAGCAGAACCAGGAGGTCAGCTTATACAATGACAAAAATATGGCAAAGACAAACAATTTTAAGAGGCTCAAAAACTCTGATAGATTCAATGATCCACCATGATTCCAGAGGACCCAAAATGAAGTGTGCTCCCCACTTTCTGCCAGAGAAGTGATAGACTCAAAATGAAGAATGAGAAACATATTTCTGAGCATGGCCAATATGGGAATTGGGTGGCTAGGTGGCGCCATAGTGCACAGACTGCTGGGCCTGGAGTCAGGAAGACTCAACATGAGTTCAAATCTGGCCTCAGACACTTACTTGCTGTGTGACCCTGGGCAAGTCACTTCACCCTGTTTACCTCAGTTTCCTTATCTGTCAAATGGGCTGGAGAAGGAAATACAAACCACTCCAATATCTTTGCCAAGAAAACCCAAATGGGGTCGTGAAGAGACAGATATGACTAAAAAGACTGAATAACAAATGTGGGAATAAGCTTTAGTTGACAATGCATACTTATCATGAGGGTTTTCTCTTTTTTTCTTATTTTGTTCAATTCAGTGTAAAAAGTAGAAAAAAAGTGCTTATTTTTTTGAAAAGAAAAAAACACACAAAAAAAATAAAAGCAAAAACCAAAACCTAAGTTTTTTGAAAGTTATAATTTAGCTTGGGAGACATAGACATGACAAGATAACCAGATGAGGCAGTATGGGATCAGAGCAAGATTATTGGTCCAGGTAATACCTGCTCAAAGGGGATCAGAGCAGGGGAAGGTCCCCGTGAGCAGCAGTGATTGGAGAAGGCTTGTAGAGGAGGCGAGACTTGAACAAGGAGAAGGGAATTCCAGGTAGGACAAGGAGCGCGAATAAAGGTGTGTTGGGGAACAATGATAGTAATGGCTCCCAAGGACGCCGTGCTTCATGTTTCTCTCCCTTCATATATATCTGAGTAGAGGGGAGTGAGCACGTAGGGGAGTAGTCGGAGACATCGTCAGAGTCTGACTGTAGAATCCCTTTAATGGCTGATGGCTAAGGAGATTGAACTTTGTGCATTAGGTGATAGGGAATCATGGAGGGTTCTTGAGTATGTGACCAGAGGGGCAGAGGTGGGTTTTCTAATTAGTCTAAAGATGGCATGTGAGCACACTATCAATGGGAACTAGGAAACTTTATGTCTAGGACACGTATCACAAACTGTCTCTGGGGTAAGGAGACTAGAGTACCCTCAGCTGGGCAAGTGGAAGAAGCAGGATGGGTGGGAAAAGAGCTTGCCCCAACCTGTCCTCTGGTAGTTTTCTCCTTCAGTAATCATCCTGGACAACTAAAAGCTAAACGCTGTTGTTTCTAGCTGTTGGCGACTCCAAGTATTGACAGTGTCGTTTAAATTCAATATCCTCTAAATTTAGTTCCCTGGGGCATAGCGCCGGTTGCCTAGTCCTAGTGAGGGCTCTAGGAGTCAGGATTAAAGGAGGGATAGGCTAGACCAATTAGGCATGAATTAATGAGAACCCGCACTGCACTAGGGTGGCATTGCTATGAAGAAAAATGAGGGAATGGGCATCAGGGATATGAAAAATGAAAACTCAGCAGGGCTGATGAATGACTAGGTGGGGGGAGGGGGAGTCATCAGGCATAATCTCAAAGTGAGATGCTATTGGGAGAAACAGGGAAGATGGAAGATGAGCTGGCTTTAGAGAAAAGAGGATGAGTTTCGTTTGAGAGGTGTGGAACTTGAAGCAAGAGTGGGACATCTCTGGGAAACCTTCCTCAGCCCCTCTTAATCCCCATGCCTTCCTTCTGCTCTTTGTTATTGTTGTTCAGTGGTTTCAGTAGTATCCAACTCTCTGTGACCCCATTTTGGGGAGTTTTTTTTTTCTTTTTTTTCTTTTTGGTGAGGCAATCAGGGTTAAGTGACTTGCCCAGGGTCACACAGCTAAAATCTGAGGCCAGATTTAGACTCATGAAGATAAATATTCCTGATTACAAGGCCAGTGCTTTACCCACTATGCTACCTAGCTGCTAGTTATTTATTTAACATTAATTAGATAATATATAATTACATAATACTATTTTTATATAAGATATAACATACAATGATTATATATTAACATATATATATAGCATATCCTATATACTGTGTCATTATATGCTATATAGCTATATGTACTGTATATACTGTATAATTATATATTAACATATATCATATAATTACATAGTATATAACATACACTATATATCATTGCATATCATATTATATATCATATATCGTATACTATATGATATGTATGATATATCATGTACTATATAATTATCTATATATAATACTATATATCATATACTGTATAATTTTATATTAACATAATGTATTATATCATTGTATAATATATAGCATATCCTATATACTGTCATTATGTGCTATATAATGATAGAGTATATAATATATACTATATAATTATATATTAACATATAATATAATTACATAGTATATAATAGATACTATATCCTATATAATTATATAGCATATATCTATATAATCTATATACGATATACTATATAATTATCTCTATATCTATATATAATACTATATTATATCATATACTGTATAATTATATATGAACATATAAAGTATTATATAATTATGTAGTATATAACATTATATACTATATAATAATATAGTATAGAACATAGTATAATATTATATCATGATATAGTATAGGACATATATATACTGTATAATTATATAATAAAATATTCTCATGTGGTTATTTAATTCTCATTTACTATTTATCTTGCATGTAACTTGCTCTGTATATATTTGTTTGCAAGATGTCTCTCCCATTAAATTATAAACTCCTTGAGGGCAGGGACTGCCTTTTCTCTCTTTGTTTAACCCCAATGCTTAGCATACAGTAGGAGAGTAATAAATGTGTATTGCTTGCTTGGTTGACATTCAAGGGAAGATGGGAAGAGGGAGAGGGACTGAAATTCAGGAAGAAGTTACCATTTTTGCAGAATCACGAGTGTAAAGATGATTACTAAAACAGTGGGAATGGGTAAGATTTACTGAGGAGAGAGTGTAGGGAAAGGAGGGTAGGGGATCTGGTGGGTGATCTGACTGAGGGTGCAGGAGAAAGAAAAGAGATGAGCAAAGAAAATCAAGATGGGAGGAGAACAAGATAGGACAGTGTCAAAAAGGCAAAGAGAAGGAAAAAATAGGCAGCAGTGTGGCCTAGTGCGGAGAGAGGTAAAGGAAGGTGAGGTCCAAGGGCATACCGATCGTTGGACAATGATGGCTGGCCAGGCACTGGCTGACCACAAGCCCAGGAATAACTCCACGTTAAATTAAATTCAGAAAGTGACATGTGACCTTCAAGAAAGACGTTGGGTGGAGCAGTGGGGTGTGACCCAGATGACAAGTCTGGATGACCCCTGGCGACCCAAGTCCCTTCCAGCTCTTAATTTCTAGGTGTCTGAGTTGAGGAGGGAATGCTGGCTGTGGGTGTAGCCTAGCCTTTTGTGAAATACCGGATGGAAAGGAATGACTGGAGTGGGACAGATATTGGTGTTCAGTGGTGTTGGGGCATCCCTTTCTCCTGTTCTCCTCCTGCCTCTCTGACCACTCCTCTGCCTCCCCTGCTGGCTCCTCCTCCAGATCGTGCCCTCTAACCATGGGTGTCCCTCAGGGTCCTGTTCTGGGTCCTCTTCTCTTCTCCCTCTATACTATTTCACTTGGTGATCTCATCAGACCCCTCGGATTTAATGCCCATCTCTATGCTGATTTTTCTCAAATCTACTTTTCTGCCCCAGACAGCTGACCTCCAGTCTTGCATCTCCAATGGACTTTCAAGACATCTCAAACTAGGTGTCCAGTAGACATCTTAAACTCAACATGTTCAAAACAGAACTTATTATTTCTCCCCCCAAACCCTTCCCAATTCCTACTTTCCCTATTACTGCAGAGGGCAACACCATCTTCCCCGTCCCTCACACGCACAACCAAGGAGTCACCCTGGCCTCCTCACTCTCTCTCACCCCACCATATCTGAGCTGTCCCCAAAGCCTGTTGATTTCATCTTCTCAACATCTCTCGAACCCGCCCCCTTCTCTCCTCTGACACTGCCCTCACCTTGGTGCAGACCCTTCTCACCCGCATTATTACAATAGCTGCTGGTGGGTCTGCCTGCCTCAAGTCTCCCCACACTCCAGGCCACCTTCCACTCAGCCATTCCTAAAGCACAGCTCTGATCATGTCACCCTCCCATGCAGTAAACTCCTGTGGTACCCTATTACAATGAACAAATACAAAATCCTCTGCTTGTCATTCAGAGCCTTTCATAACCTAACAGGACACCCCTCCAACACCCTACTCCAACACATATGTCTTTCTAGTCTTTTTTTTTTTTTTTTTTGGCTAGGCAATGGGATTAAGTGACTTGCCCACAGGGTCACACAGCTAGTAAGTGTTATGTGTCTGAGGCCGGATTTGAACTCAGATCCTCCTGAATCCAGGGCCGGTGCTCTATCCACTGAGCCACCAAGCTGCCCCCACCTTTCCAGTCTTGTTGCATCTTACTCACCAACACATACTCTTCAATCCAGTGACCCAGGCCTCCTGGCTGTTCTATGAACAGGACACTCCATCTCTCAGCTCTGGACGTTTTCTCTGGCTGTCCCCCATGCCTGGAATGTTCTTCCCCTCATCTTTGCCTACCATCTTCCCTGTCATCCTTCAGGTCTCCCCTTCAAGAAGCCTTCTCCAACCCCTCTTAATCCTAGGGCCTTCCTTCTGTTAATTATTTCTGACTTATCCTATATATGGTTTGTTATTATTGTCTTTCCTATTAGATTATAACTTGAGGGCAGGGACTGCTTTTTGCCTCTTTTTGTATCTCCAGAGCTTAGTGCAACATCTGGCACATAGTAGGCCAGTAAATAATAAATATTTAATATATTTATGTTAAATAAATATAAATAGTAAATGTATATTGATTGATTGATGGTGCTGATGTATTTGATACCTCCTTCCACAAAGGCCTTTCCCACCCAACCCAGATTGGTGGATCAGAAATCAGAGGGCCAAGGTTCAGCTCCTAGCTCTGCCAGTACTACCTGTGGGGCCTTGCACAAGTCACTTAACCTCTACAGACCTCAGTTTCATCTTCTATAAAATGAGGGAATTGGACTATGTGACCTTTCAGCCAAGAGCTATGATTCTTTTTGCGTCCCTCGGGCAGAGCACAGTACTTGGCACATAGTAGACACTTAACAAACGTTTGTTGACTCACTGTTGAAAGGTTCCCACCACATAGTTAGCTCTAAGGAAAGAGAAATAAGATACTCACTTGCCGACACCATCATAGTCTCCTCCAATCCCCATGTACTCGGCTCCTATGACCTTCTTTATGTGGTCAAAGTGATCTAAGGAGCAGAGGCAGGGGCCAGGATTCTTAGCATGGGGGAAATATGGAGGTTCATGACCCTCCCTTCCTCCAGGACACACTCCTCATCTTCATACTCCTCTCCTCCCACCCACTTGCTCACCTCCAAGGAGCCACAGTTCCTTGGCCAGGGGTCCAGGGATTTGGGCCTCACCTGCTACTGTGGAGATGTTGGCCAACAGTTCACACTGAATCACGCCTACAGAGAAGGTCACCATCACAATGCCGCCATTCTTTTTCTGCAGAACCAGACACAACCCGTCAGAGCAGCCAGTGAGGTTGCCTTGGGGCGGGTCAAGATCCATTCATGCTTTCTCATTATTCTTGTACCCTGTCGTCCTACAAATCCTACACCCCACCCATCTTCTGTCACCCTTCTCTCTCCAAGGGATGGGAACTGAACTCTTCAAGCAGACTAGAGACTGGAGGAGGGGAAAAGTCTGCAGGCAGCAGGGTGGGATGCTCTGTGGCACCCTCAATCCAGATTGCTCCCTTCATTTAACCCTCTGTGCCTCAGTTTCCTCATCTATAAAGTGAAGGTTTGGATTCCTGATGGTCTCCAAGAAGCCTCTTAACTCTGTGCTGCCCTCTGCTCACCCTGGGGTCCCTGGCTTCTGTGATGGATTGTGATGAGGGGCGAGAACCTATAGATTCATGCAGGAGTGTCTGTCACACTGTTCCCTCCTCTCCTGTTGCTCAAGGAGAGCCAAAAGCTGGCTTGCCTGCTTGGAGTGGAAGGGGGCCACTCCATGGGTGGAAGCCCCGCCATCTTCTGAGTGCACTATTCATAACCCTAACACACCTCTGTAACACATTCTAGTAAGGATAACAAGGTTTTGGGGGCTTGAGGGAGCTGAAGGGTTGAGGAGCTCTGGGGATGGGAGGAGAGGGTCTGAAGCGTCTCGAGCCTGGCATCTGGCAGGGTCATGATGGCTCACCAACTGCTTCAGGAGGGTGTCTGGCACATTCCTAGTGTAGTTGCACACTGAGAAGGCAGATGAGTGCGAGAAGATCACCGGAGCCTGAGACACAATCATCGCCCTTTTGGCCGTGGCATCTGATGTATGGGACAGGTCCACCATCATGCCCAGACGGTTCATTTCCAGTATCACTTGCTGGGGCATCAGGGTCAAGGAAGGAAGGAAGAGAGCGAGATGGAGTTAATTTTAGGCCAACGAGCTAGGGAATGCCTTCAGGAATGGATCACGGAGCCTACCAGGAGACGACAACCAGGGTGGTGAGGGGACCTGCAGACCAGGTCATGCAAAGGTCAGGTAAAGGAACTGGGGGCATTGAGCATGAAGAAAAAACTTGGGGGGGAGAGGAGGGGACATGGTAGCTGTCTTCAAGGACTGTCCAGGGCAAGAGGAGCTAGCTTTATTCTGCTTGGCACTAGAGGGCGGAGCTGAAAGGTATGGGTAGAAAGGACAGAAAGGAAGATTTCAGCTCAGTAAAAGAGAAAACCTCCCAACAACCTTGTCTGCCTAAAAGTTGACTGAGATGCCTCTGGAAGGCATGAGTTTCCCACTCTTGGAGGTCTTCAGGAAGAATCTACACAACCCCTGGCAGCTGGGTTCTGGTACCAGTTGTACTAGGTGACCTCTCAGGGCCCTAGGACAGAGGGCCCAGCTTCCCACTCCACTCCTGAGACCTCTTACCTCACCAAAAGTATTGAGTCCCCTAATATATGGGTAAGAGTGATGCAGACCCTTGGTGGAGCTCTCCGCCCTATAGGATACAGCAGAAAAACAAAGTAAATTAGCTATAATAGACACGAAGCTAGCGTCTCCCAGCTTTGAACATCCACCCAATTCAGCCACATGATACCTTACTCCCTCTGAAAGAGGAAAGATGTATACTAAGACTCTGAAAATCTTCCTAGAACCCAGGGTCCAGGGAAGCATTGAGCTCCAGAACTCTCTGCTTACCCTGGTCTTCCCACCCACCCCAGGGTTGGACTGGACCCAGCACAACCTCCATCTTAGAAGCCCCAAGCCCTGGAAGGATGGCCTTTTTGTGCCCTCATGTTCTTCAGAATACCCAGGCTCTAGAACCAAGGGGAACAGTTTAGAGAATGAGAGCTGCATTGTGAAAACAGAAAATGGTGGAAGGACCAAGAACTGTGATTCTGGAGGACTAATGATGATCTGGGTTACCCGTCTCCCGATAGAGAGCGGATGGACTCAAAATACGGAACCAGACACATTTTTAGATATGGCTGATGTGGGAATTTGTTTTGCTTGATTACGTATGTTTGTTCCAGGGTTTTTGTTTTTTCTTTTAAATTGGAGATAGAGGGTGGGAAGGAGAGAAAATGAAAGTTTATTCATTGAAAAATGGAATTTAGAGGGCAGCTAGGTGGCACAGTGGATAGAGCACCAGCCCTGAAATCAGGAGGACCTGAGTTCAAATCTGGCCTCAGACACTTGATGCTTACTAGCTGTGTGACCCTGGGCAAGTCATTTAACCCCATTGCCTAGCCAAAAAAAAAAAGAAAAAGAAAAAGAAAAATGGAATTTAGTAGGAACCTCGCCCCAAACAAATCCTTATCCTTACCACGGTGTGTTACAGAAATGTGTCAAAGTCATATAGCGCACTCCGAGGTCATAGAATGCCCGCAAGACGGCCAGGCTTCCATCCATGGAGTGGCCCCCTTCCACCCCAATCAGGCAAGCCAGCTTCCGGCTCTCCTTAAGCTCTGGGGATAGGAGAAGAAGGAGCCAGGGTTCCCAAGGCAGGTTGTTGCTATCTTGGAGGGGAGGGGAGAGGAGGGAAGGGGATGAGAGGAGAGGGGAGGGAAGAGAAGAGGAAAGATTCCTATACCTTCACCCTCCTCCTCAGGATATTTCAGGATGCTACAGCCAGTGGCTTTGAGAAGCCCACCCTCTTCCCCCACTGACCCCAGGGGATCAGGGGCACTAGGGTTTGCCCGCGGATCCCGCAGAGAGATTATGCCCTTGTGAACTGATTCCACCATTATACTTCGACTCCAAGGTCCTCCTTAGACACTTTTGGGCCAATATGCATGTATCCTGGGGATCCCCCTGCCCACAGGGCTCTCGGTCAGGTCCTGGCTGGTGGCATTGCTCATTTAGGGTAAGAGGGAAAGGGGCTGATGAGCAGAGGCTGAGAAGGGCCTGTGCGACCTCGGGGCTCTCTGGGAGGGGTGGGTCTCCTTCCTTTTCCCCTGCCCCCCAAACCCCAAGAGGCATAACCTTGCGCCGAGCTCACAAACTCCAGCTCCTCATAAGCATTGCACATCCGTTTGATGATATCAATCTGCTCCAGGGTTAGGCGCAAAGCATCCTTGTCCTGAGTCTGGCAGGGGACATAGGCTGACCAGAACTAGAGGGGACACAAGACGTGACACCCAGGGCCTGGGATGAGACCTGGAGAACCCTCCTTTCTCCCATTAGATGCCTGGCCTTTAACCTAGAAACCAGGTCTGGGGGGAATGAGGGGTTACAGGAGGACGAATCAGGAATATAGGGCCGGGGGTTCAAACTCTCAGTGTTTGAGGACCCCTGGTTCCTTCCAGCTCCAAAATCTCATCCGTGATTCTCCTCTCTCTACAAGATAAGTACCCATTCCGTCCGTCACAACTCACACTGCCAGCACTTTGCTTCTAGTCCTGGCCTGTCACTATTGCAGCGGCCTTCCAACTGACCTCCCTGCCTCAAATCTCTACCTACTGCCATCCGTCCTCCACAAAGCTGGCAAAGCTCAGATCTGGCCATGTCAGCCCTCTAGTCAATAAAATCCAGGGACTCCCTATTGCTTCTAGGATAAAATATAAATCTGTCTGTTTGTTTTTCACAACCTCGCCCCAATTTTGGTTACATAAAATTTAAAAGTTTTGCTCAAGTAAAACTAATGCAGATAAAACTGAAAGAGAAGTGGGAAGTGGGGGTGGGGATCTTTTTAACAAGTTTCCCTGATAAAAATCTCATTTCTAAGATATGTAGGGAACTGAGTCAAATTTATAAGAAAAGGGGCCATTTTCCAATTGATAAGTTGTCAAAAGATATGAATAGGCAGTTTGCAGAGGAAGAAATCTAAGCTATTGATAGTCATGTGAAAAACTGCTCTAAATCACTAGTAATTAGAGAAATGCGAATTAAAATAACCCTGAGATGCCACCTCCCATCCATCAGTTTGGCTAAGATGACAGAAAAGGAAAATGATAAATGCTGCAGAAGCAGGAAAACACTGTTCACACAACAGCAACATTGTACGATGATTAAGTGTGGATGGCTTAGCTATTCTCAGCAATACAATGTAGGACTTATGATGGAAAATGCAATCTACCTCCATAGAAAGAACTCATGGAGTCTGAATGGGGATCAAAGCATACTTTTTGTTATTTTTGTTCCATCATTTTTCAGTCGTGTCTGACTCTCCATGACCCCATTAGGGTTTTCTTGGCAAAGATACTGGAGTGGTTTGCCATTTCCTCCTCCAGCTCATTTGACAGATGAGGAAGCTGAGGCAAACAGGGTAAAGTGACTTGCCCAGGGTCACAGAGCTAGGAAGTGTCTGAGGCTCAATTTGAACTCAAGTCTTCCTGTCTCCAGGCCCAGCACTCTATCCACTATGGTGCCACCTAACTGCCCACTTTTTAAGCTTCCTTTATTATTCTTTTTTTTTTAATCTGTTTTTTCTTTTGCAACACGGCTAACATGGAAATGCTTTGCATGACTGCACATGTATAATCTATATCAAATTACTTGCCCTCTCAAAGAGGGAAGAAGGGAGGGAAAGAGAGAATTTTGAACTCAAATTTTTAGAAACATGGTAAAAAAAATTTTTTACATGTAATTGAGAAAAAATAAAATAAAAATTAAATGTAAAAAAAAAAGAAATGATGGGGGCAGCTAAGTGGCGCAGTGGATAGAGCACTGGCCCTGGATTCAGGAGGACCTAAGTTCAAATCTGGCCTCAGACACTTAACACTTGCTAGCTGTGTGACCCTGGGCAAGTTACTTAACCCCATTGCCTAGCCAAAAAAAAAAAAAAGAAATGATGAAGGAGATAGTTTCAGAGAAATCTGGAAAAATGTATATGAAATGATGCAGAATGAAGTGAACAGAATAAGGAGAATAATTTAATAGTAACAACAATAAACAACTTGGAAAGATTTAGGAACTCTGATCAACCCAGTTCCTGCCTACCTCTGGATAGAGAGCTGATGGACTCAGAGTGCAGACTGAAACATATTTTTTTTTTTTATGGACATGGCTACTTTGGGAATTTGTTTTGCCTGACTGTACATATTTGTAAGGGGCAGCTAGGTGGCCCAGTGGATAGAGTGCTGGGCCTGGAGTCAGGAAGACCTGAGTTCAAATCCAACCTCAGACACTTAGTATCTGTGTGACCCTGGGCAAGTCACTTTACCTTGTTTGCCTCAGTTTCCTCATCTATAAAATGACCTGGAGAAGGAAATGGCAAACCACTACAATATCTTTGCCAAGAAAACCCCAAAAGGGGTGATAAAGAGTCAGACACGACTGAAATGACTGGACAACAATAAAAAAAGTTTGTAACATTTTTTTTTCTTGCTTTTTCACTGAGTGAGGAAGAGGCAGGAGGAAGAGGATACAGAAATGAAAATAATATAAAAATGAATTTTTAAAATAAAGTAAATTATGCTAACAATAACAACAACCCACAGATACTCATTTAATTCCTGGGGATAAGAATGAGGTCTACAAACTTTGGACCTGATTTCTTTTCAAATGTCTTATCTGTTCTAGCAGGACCCAGAACATTAGACTTTGAGCCAGGAGACCGGGGTTTGAAATCCTGTCTCAGACATTTACTAGCTATTTCACCCTGGGCCAGTCACTAACCTCTGCTTGCCTCAGTTTCCTTATCTGTAAAATGAGGGGGCTGAACAAGATGGGAGGTTGGATTAGATGGGCTACAGGTTCCTTACAGGTCTAAGTCTGTGAATCCTATGAATAGGCATTTATTAAGCACCTACTGTATGCTGGGCAGGGGGCAAAGGTAGTGAGGGAGGAGGGGTAGGGGGCTGGTCAATGGCGACTATATTTGGACGTTATACCTGGGCTCCCACCATCCCTGCTTGAAGCTTCTGAATGCTGGTCTGACTTTTGTTGAAGGTTCTCAAGTTGAGGCCTTGGAGTCTATTCTGATGAAACCATCTCAGGATTCCTGGTAAGTCATTATGGCTGTGGGAGAGAAAGCCCGGGTCAGGGGGCAGTGAGTGGAGGGCAAGAGCCAAAGGCGGAGGGAAGCAGGAGTCAGGGGCCAAGGTCAGGGAATGGGGAAGGGGGCAGAGATGGGGAGAGGGAGGGGTCAAGGGTCAAGGTCAGGGAGGACTGAGGATGGAGATTAAGCATTCTCTGGCAGGAAGGCCGCAAGTTGTTTGAATGCAGTGACTGATAAGGTGCCCTAGAGAAGCAGTGTGAGTTATTAGAAAAAAGTGTTCAGGGGCAGCTAGGTGGTGCAGTGTATAGAGCACTGGCCCTGAAGTCAAGAAGACCTGTGTTCAAACATGGCCTCAGACCAAACACTTGACACTTACTAGGTGTGTGACCCTGGGCAAGTCACTTAACCCCAATTGCCTAAAAAAAAAAAAGAAAAGAAATGAAAAAGGGGTTCAGGGGCAACTAGATGGCACAGTGGATAGAGCACTGGCCCTGGAGTCAGGAGAACCTCTGATCTCAGACACATAACATTCACTAGCTATGTGACCCTGGGCAAGTCACTTAATCCCATTGCCTAGCAAAAAAAAAAAAGAAAGAGAAAGGGGTTCAAATCCCAGCACTGACATTTCCAAGATGGAAGAAGTCACTTTATGTCTCAATCTTTGGTTTTCTCATCCATAAAATGGGGATAATGATAGTAATAACAGCTAACATTTATTTATTGCTGAGAGTTTTGCAAAGTGCTCAACATATGTTATCTCATGTGACCCTTACAACCACCATGTGGGGTAGCTGTATTATCCCCCTTTTACAGATGAGGAAACTGAAGCAGGCAGAGGTTCAGTGACTTGGCCAGGGTCACACAGCTAATAAATGTCTGAGGCCAGATTTGAACTCAGGTCTTCTTGACCCCCAAGTCCAATGCTATGGTGCATCTACCTACCTCAGAAATGAGGCCAGGCCTCCCCAGCTCACTTCAAATTGCTACAAAAATGTGAGTTCTTGTTGGAGATGAAACAATGCTCTGACCGTGGGTCACTCTAAGGTCAGTCTCAGTCCAGCACGGCCCTTGGTGGGGCAGGGGAAAGGCAGGACCAGATCTTAGGGCAGATGAACTGGATTTGGCAGAATAAGGACAAGCCCACTGTCATGGAGACCAAATCTCGGCATCAGTTTACCCCTGGTGCCTGGGAGGGTTGGGGTGGGGAGGAGGCAGGTACATACCCATCGATAAGTGGGTAGGCTTTCATGAGAGCATGGGTTCTGTCTCTTAGCTCAGAGCCACTGCTGGGGGTTATGCCCACCCCGAGCAGCAGCAGCAGCAGCCTCTGTGCCTTCTCCATGTCCAGAAAGGTACCCAGGGGAGGCCTCTGCCGCAGGCTGTCTAGAGGGAGGGATGCAGGGGTCCTACTGCCAGGGTGGGAGGTGCAGGAGGTGCTGGAAACAAAACAGAACAAAAAGGCAGTGATTTCCCATCAGGCCCTGGGGAAGAGCCACATGGGACCCTGGAGACTTCCTGGAGACTGGGGGCTGTGGGTGGAGCAGTCAGGGGTCCTGCCCGCCTCCCCACGGTGGAGCCTTGTCTCACTCTGGGTCTCACTGTATCTCTTAGTGTGAAACTTGCCAGAGGTAGAAGGAGAGACCGGGCTCAGCTTCCAGCCTCAAAGCTTTCTTAGCTGTGTCTGTCCTCTGGGCCTCAGTTTCCTCACCTGAAAAAACAAGGGGATCAGATTAGATTAGATGATCCCACCCAGTTCTGCGATTCTAATGGAAGGAGCATCCTTCAGCTCTACTTAGAGAAAAAAGGAAATTTTTGTCACACATACTTTTCTGATATTCTCCTTAGTGGAGGCTTAATTTAATGAAAGGGTTGATTCAAAGACTTAACCCTTTTTGTGTCTCAATGTCCTTATCTGTAACACGTGCCTGGCACAGAGTATGAACTGTTATGGAGTGCTTTTTCATTATTTATTCATTCATTTACTCAGTCATTCAAGGATACTGTGATAACAAGGGTAAGTCATCCCCGGAGACTGGCAGAACACGGAGCTAGAAAAGGCTGTAGAGATCATCTGGTCCAACCTCCCCCATTTTACGGATGAGGAAACTGAAGCCTCCAGAAGGAAAGTGACTTACCCAAAGTCAACAGTAAGTTAATGGCAGAGCTGAGAATCAAATACAGAGTGATGAGGAAAGGGAAGGGTATGTGTTCCCAAAATTTCCTCTTTATCTACGCAGAGTTGAAGGATGCTCCTTCCATTAGTTTCAATGTGATGTAAGTGACCAGGGAAGTCAAAAGGGAACCCCAACTCAAGGCCTCAAAATCCCATCTTTCACACCTGCTAGTTGTGTGACCTTGAATAAGTCATTTTACTTTTCTTAGTTTAAGTTTCTCCATCTGTAACATTTTGAAGTATAAAAGGGAATATGCATTAGGAATTCAGAGAAGCAGAGGAATGAATATATATATATATATGTGTGTGTGTGTGTGTGTGTGTATAGAATATATATAGAATGAACCATACATACAAACATACACACATACACACACACATACACACACACACACACACACACACACACACACAGAAGAGAGAATGAACTAAGCAGAATCAAAGTTAAAATAATGCTAAAAGGTGGCCAAAATCAGACTATTTATACAACACCGGTCTTGATCCCAGAGAACAGAGAATGGGGCACGATTTCCCTTCACTTAGTACAGAAGAGGGGGACTTGGGGGGACATGCTTAGTAAGCTGTCAGGCACAGTTAATTTGACCACCAATTTTGTTTAGGAAAAGAAAGGGAGGCAGGAGACAGTGAGCAAGCATCTGGTGGAATACTTAGGGCAAGGCACCTGCCAGAAACCTAACAATGCTACAGAGACTCAGGAAAAGATAATGGGAGAGAATTATTTGCAAATATTCACATGCGGGGAAGTCACCTTGCCGAGAGAGAGGTTTCTCATAAAATAATTGTTCCCAGAAACGTGATGGGGATGATGAGGCGGGGCAGGGGAGGGGGACAAACAGTATGTCCTTCCAACTCTCAGTTACTCACTAGGGAACTGAGAGTAGGGGAGGGTGGAGGAGAGAACCAGTAGGAAACAGAAGGAAATAAATGTTAAAAAAAAAAAAAACCTAAAGCTATGACTATTAACTTTTGTTGTTTGTTTTTGAGTCATTTTTCAGTCACGTCCCACTCTTCGTGCCCCTATTTGGGGTTTTCTTGGAAGAGATACTGGTTTGCTGTTTCCTTCTCCAGCTCATTGTACGGATGAGGAAACTGAGGCAAATGGAGTGAAGTGACTTGCCCAGGGTCAGACAGCTAGTAGGTGTCAGAGGCCAGATTTTAAATCAGGAAGATAAGTTTTCCTGACTTCAGTCCTGGCGCTCTATCCACCATGCCACCTAGCTGCCCAGCTATTCACTAGGTGAATATATTTGGGACCAAGAAGTATCCAAAGCATACCAGGCCTCCCATTGTTATTGGAACTGTGGAGAAAGGCTCTGACTCAGAGACGGGACCAGGATCTGAAGTCAGGAGACATAGGGACATATCCTGGCTCTGACATTTACTAGCCGTGTACTCTGGACAGTTCTCTGCCTCAGTTTTCACACCTGTAAAATGGGAATAGTAATGCTTTCATTGCCTGCCTCTCAGGGTTGCTGTATACCTGGCCACCGCTTAACTGGGATTATTTCTCTGCTATTTCTAGGCTCTAGAGGAAAAAGCAGGAAATCCAGAGGTGAATTGACATTGCAAAGGCGGCTGCTTGACTAAATGATATTATCCTAAAGAAGTTACGGAGCGAACAACAAATCATAGGAAGAATTGGTAATTTCATAAAAGAAGCCAACAGTGAGTTAAAGTAACAAAACTTTGGGGATGCAACCAAACAGGCTTTCAGGGGAAATCTCACATCTCTAAGCACTTAAGTCAACAAAAGAGAGAAAGAACAGATGGATGAATCTGGCACCAAAAAACCCAGCTATGAGGATTGACCTGTGGTCTATTAGAGGCCGCTAGGTGGCGCAGTGGATAGAGCGCTGGGCCTGGAGTCAGGAACACCTGAGTTCAAATACAGCCTCAGACACTTACTAGCTGTGTGACCCTGGGCAAGTCACTTAACCATGTTTGCCTCAGTTTCCTCAACTGCAAAATGAGGATAATAATAGTACCTACCTCGCAAATAGTAGGTGCTATGTGAATACTTATTCCTTCCCCCCCCCCGCCCCATTGCTAGGCCCTAACACACTCCATGTTTGGCAAGTGATTAACCCACCTACTTAGCTTAAAAGTTCCCAAGTACCCAACACTGGTTGGGTCAGCTACATTTAGGCAAGGAAAGCAAGACTCTACTAATCATAATCATTTTAGTCTGGAGTCAGGAAGACCTGAGTTCAAATGTGGCCTCAGACATTCACTAGCTGTGTGACCCTGAGCAAGTCACTTTGCCCTGTTTGCCTCAGTTTCCTCATCTGTCAAATGAGTTGGAGAAGGAAATGGCAAACCATTCCAGTATCTTTGCCAAGAAAACCCCAAATGGGGGTCATGAAGAGTCAGAAACGACTGAGCAAAAACAACAAAAATGAACTTAACTTTTAGGGTCTGTTTTGAAGGCTGAAAATATTCAAAAGAGGTTGACTGAATCCATCTGCCCATCCAAAGAGACCAGTTTATGTGACACTGCCCTCCCCTGGTTCTCCTCGTGCTTACTGGACAGCTCCTTCTGTCTGCTTTGGGGCATTACTGTCCACTTCCCTTCCTTAGCTTGGGCAGCTATTTCCCTGGGTTCTCTCTTGGACCCTCTTCTCTCCTCCCTTGACTAAGGATTCTTAATCTGGAGTCTGTGAAATTAAAAAAAAATTTTTTTGATTACTATTTTTTAGCATAATTGTTTCTTTTATATTCCTATGTATTTTATTTTGTGCATTTTAAAATATGCTGAGAAGGGGTCTATAGGTTTCAACAGACTGCCAGAGGGGTCTGTAATCCAAAAATGTTAAGAACTTCTGACATTAAAAAAAATAACAGGGGCAGCCAGGTGGTGCAGGGGATAGAGCATCGGCCCTGGAATCAAGAGGACTTGAGTTCAAATCCGACCTCAGATGCTTGACACTTACTAGCTGTGTGACCCTGGACAAGTCATTTAACCCCATTGCCTAACCAAAAAAAAAATTTTTTTTTTAAAAATAACCACAACAACAAAATATTCTGGTCTCACCTCAGTGATCTTATCTATTTCCATAGGGTTCAAATGTCATCTGCATATAGGTGGTTCCCAAAACCACATGCAGTGATCCCTTCCACATCACAGGGGTTAGGGATTAGGGGCGCAGTGCCCCTACAATCTGGAACATCTCTATAAAATATTTTGGCCCTCCCTTCATACCAGAGAAGAAGTCTGAATTTTTTCTTTTTCTTTTATGGGTGTTCATAGTAAAATTGTAAAATTTATTGTAAAAATTGTGTTAACTTATTGTAAAATTTGTGTTAACTATTTTTCTGCGTCATCTCCTGGCCTTTGCATGTCATCTGCGGCTTCCGCAAAACTCCCCAAAAATTTTCATTTAATTTCTTAGGCTGACCCATGATATAGTGAAATCTCGATGGGAAAAGTCTCGATGTATAGATAACCTGTATATCTGGATCCAATATTTCTTCAGAACTCTAACCCACCATCATCAACACTTTTTCTGCTGGTTTTAATTAACTTTTTTTCCTTTGTTACGAGGAGAAGATTTACTAGGAAGGAATATTGGAAAATAACTGCAATGTTAAAAAACAAAAGGCATTAATTAAATTAAAAAAAAAACAAACATCCGTTAGCTAGCCCAGGACCTTGAACCCAACAGCCTTGGGAATGACAGTACCTCTCAGATCACTGTCCCACTTCTAGGCTAGCCTCTACCACCATCATCAAAGTGAGAAATTGCTGAGGGGAAGGGCCTTTCTCACTTCCACCACTGCCAACCAACTGCTCCTTAATGGGCAGGTAAGCCCTAAGAGCCCTGGACCACAAGTCCTGCTTCCAGCCCAAGCCTCAAAGCCATTATCCTTGGAAGCATCCCTGTGGAGACGCAGCCGGCAACTGCTTCAGCAGGTGCTACAGCCACAGCTGCTGAAGACCCATAAAAGATGTTTTGGCCACCCAAGTCCTTGGCACTGTCAAGTGGTTCAACCTCAGAAATCAGTAAGATTTTATTAGTGGAAATAACATTAAAAACAGTGCATTGCCGTCTGCTTTCCTGCTTACCCTAAGGACTGTGAGGCTGCCCCCGCTGAAATACAACTGAAACTACAGGTGCTGTTTCCTCCATTAGAATGTGAATACCTGGGGAGAAGGCACTGCCTTAATTTTTTGTTTCTATGCCCAGTGCTTTGCACATAGTAGGCACTTTTTCTTCCTTCCCTCCCTCCCTCCCTCCTTCCTTCCTTCCTTTCTTCCCTTCCTCTTTCCTTCTGTAAAATTGAAAATTGAGTTTAATTCTATTTTGCTAAGACTTAATCAAGCTAGATTTATGACTCCCTTTTGAGATTCCTTCCCCTTGTAAACTTCACTCACCACCTGTATTCTGGAGACACTTGCCTAAAGGGCAAGCTTTTGTCTTATAATTACCTCTGCCTTTGTAACCTCACCAATCACCCACTTTCCAGAAAACTTAGTAAAAATCTCATCAGCAGCTAGGTGTCTCAGTGGATAAGAGTGCAGGCCCTAGAGTCAGGAAGGCCTGAGTTCAAATATGTTCTTAGACACTTAGCGAGCTGTGTGGCCTTGGGTAAGTCACTTCACCCTGTTTGCCTCAGTTTCCTCATCTGTAAAATGAGCTGGAGAAGGAAATGGCAAACCACTCCGGTATCTCTGCCAAGAAAACCCCAAATGGGGCCACCAAGAGTTGAATATAACTGAACAACAACAACAAAAAACCTCATCCATTTCAACTATTGTAGCAACTCCCATTACCTGAGAACCTTTGTCTTGGGACTCAGGATCATATGTCTTGGCTGTGCTTCATAAGGGAAATTCCAAATGCTGTAATCTCAATTCTGGCTATGTCATTGGTAGACCATCAGAAGAAGACACACCTATGTTGCTCTAGATTTTACTCTGTCATCTTGCTAATTGTTATAAAAGACCCTTACTTGAGGTCTTTGGTCATCAAGAGAGGCCATTGACCCAATTTATTGATTACTGCTAGCCTAACTAATAAATTGATCATGCTTGAAACTTTGTTTCTCAGTTTACCTTAATTTCTACCATAACAGCTTGGCAACCACAAAAGGATTGGGGGTGGTAGGCTGGTCCCCAGAGTAACCTCTTGGGGATGGAGATGGGGGGATTCCCCATAGCACTCAGACGGCATTTTCCACAGGGGGCTTTCTCCACAGAGGATTGCACTGGAGATCTATCCCCACCCTTGGCCCCCCCAGTCACAGCCCTCCCAAGCCAAGGAAAGCTTCCCCACATTGTTGGAGAAACTGCAGCTGTGCTTTTGTTTTGTGTTCTGTGTTTTAGTGTGACTGATTGGCGAAATTGGTAATAGAAAGCTCAGAAAATTCCCCTGAGAAGCTTAAACCCTTGAGAAATCTTTTCCTCCTTCAAGGGGGGCTCTCAGATTATGACAAGAGGGATAATATCCTTTCAGGGAAGTCTTAAACCTTAAAAAAAAGTTATTTTGTCTTACAGGGCTCCTGACTCAGGCTAAGGGGGGGGTGGTTCTTAAACTTTGAAGAATTCTTCTTTTTCTAAGGGGGCAATATCTGTTTTAAAGCCAGGAGGGATGCATACTTCCCATTTAAGAAAAGGGTAAGAAAGAGGGGATAACCAAAATATGTAGACCAAAATTAGCCTAAAATATATAAGTTCCAAAATTGGCCTGAAAAGGGATTTTGTGCATGTGTGTGTGTGTGTGTGTGTGTATGTGTGTGTATGTGTGTGTATGTGTGCGCACACGCATGCGTGCTAATTTCTTTTTGAAGCTTCATCACTGGTGTTTAATGTCTGGGTATTTATGTTGTTATTCTCACTTTGTTATATTTAAATTACTAATAAAAGAGGGATGGTCTCCAGGTTTTGCCCTAAATATTGTCCTTCTACCTACGACAGGGGAGTACGGTACTGTGAACCCAGCTGTAGAAAGCAAGGATGCGTAGGGGAACCCTGTATCCCCCTAGGAGGAATTCACTTGTACCAAAAGCACCAACATCTCTGGGCAACTCACAAATTTTTCCTTAGCCATTGACTGACTATACATTCTGGTGCTAAAACTGGCCACCAGTTTGAATGCTGTGAACTGTCAGAGGAATTCCTGTTAGGGATTCCTGAACCTTTATTAGACCCATGAACTGAGGACCAGGTTCATATTCAACTGAATTGAGTGGCCTCTCGGGGAAGGAATACAGAAAACTATTAAAACATTAGGAAGGCATCCTCAGAGGCTGTATTTCTATTAGCCACCCAAATATCTTAATTGGAAATTGGATGGATAAAAGATTCTTTTAACTTCTCCAAACTGAAAAGGTACCTTACCTGACAAGGCAAGGTAAAATTCATAAGGGAGAAATCAAAGACTTCTATTAAATTGAGGAACCCTCATATTCATCGCTTTAGCAGGGATTCAGAGGGCATGTCCTACAAATGTCTATCAGTTTCATGCCTAATTATTTGTGCTTTGGTTTCTCTGTGTCTGTATTTTTTTGTGTTTCTGTGTTGGGATAGAGTAAACTAACTTTTCTTGTGTCTGTGAAAAGTAAGTGTAGGCATAAGCATAGAACATAATCAGCCTTACACATAAACTGGTCACGAATTGATTGTGGATGTTATGCCTCTGTGGGTGCCTCAAACTGTGGAGTTTGTTTTAGAAGAAGAAAAGCTTACATATAGATTATATTTCATACAGAAAAGCTTACATACATATTGTATTTATTGTTTTAGGGAGGGAGGTTTTTTTTTTACTCTAGTTTTAAAGTGTCAGACCACTGGAAGTCAACTTCAGTAAGGTTTCAAAGATAGTTTACAATGTGAACTTTCTTCTTGATCCCAAAGGACAGAAATTTATTTAAATCAAGGAGCCACTTGAGGGTAAGTGAAACTTAATCTTTCTGTTTAAGTAGCTTAAGTTAAATTGATTTTAAATAATAGAAATTAAAAATTCATATTTAATGGGTTGCCGAAACTAAATTTTGTAGATTATGGCCCCTTGTGCTGCCCATCCCAGAATTTGGAGTATTTTTCAATTTCCAGAAGAACTTCCTGACTTTTTTTAAAAAATAGATTGTGCAAAGATGCTAAGCAATAAACAGGTCTCAATTGTAGTGATCCATGAGGAGCTTGAATTATTTATTTAGCCTGTTCAACCAGTCTGAACCAGAAATTAGGAAGCACTTTTTTTTTTGCAGTTTTTTTTTTCTTTTTAGGCAATTGGGGTTAAGTGACTTGCCCAGGGTCACACAGCTAGTGTCAAGTGTTTGGTCTGAGGCTGTATTTGAACTCAGGTCCTCCTGACTTCAGGGCCAGTGCTCTATTCACTGTGCCACCAAGCTGCTCCTAGGAAGCACTTTTAAAAAATAATTGCTCAGGGTGGCATGAAAAAGGCAGTGAGTTAAAAGATATAGCCCAGCTTGTCTATGAAGGAAAAGATAAGGTAAAAGAAAAATCCAAGCCCAGTGCCCAGACTGGCTGTTTCTGCAATCTGAAAGAAGGCCATGTAGTTAAGAATTGTAAAAAGAAGAGGTGGGTATATTTGTGGAATAGGTATTGCAAAAAAGAGAAGAATTTGAGGAATAAAGATGACCCTTAAGATAAAACTAGCCCTGGG